ATTTAAATTAGTCAAATCATCTGCTTTTTTAGGAATAAGAGTAATAAAGCTCTTGCTTCATGAGCTCGGGATTGTTCCAGTATTCATCATATTGTTGAATACTTTGACGAAGATTGGAAGGATAAGTTCTTTGGTGTCTTTATAGAATTCATATATTAGGCCATCTGAATCTGGAGCCTTGTTGTTAGGCAGCTTATTGATAACTAAGCTGATTTCTTTCTCAGTAATAGGCCTAGTTAGAGAGAGATTTTGTTCAGAAGTTGTGATCTGAAGTGCTGCTTCCTTATTGATGTCTTCACTCTTGTAGAAAGCTTGATAAGAGTCTTTAATATAGCTTATTGCTTGCTCTTGTGTAGAATCATCGGTGATATTTGGGTTTCTGATTTTGGTGCTACAGCTTGTTGTGGGGTACATCTATGTGCCCACCGCCCGATTTGGAAATCACGCTTTTTATCCAATCGATCTATGTGTAATGTTAAAATTAAAAAAATTAAATGTTTTTTTAAAAAATCGCTTTTATCTTGAAATTTCACTTATGAAATTAACTTCTTCGTTCTAACAAAAAAAAATTCCTCGCGAAATTTTAGTATATTTTTTTTTCTAAAGCTCTACTCTTACCTTAACATTAACTCTAACACTAATTAACAGTATTTTTTTTTATTTTTTTAAAAAAAACATAAAATCCGTATTGAAATAATATAAACAATGCTGATCATTTCCATTTTGGGTGGTGGGCACATAGATGTATCTGCTTGTTGTGTGCCTGGATTTATATAAGGCAAAGAAGTACTTGGTTGACTTTTCACCTTCTTCTATCTATTTGGCTTTAGAATGCAATCTCCATTTATCAGATAGTTATTGTAGTTCCTCCTGTAGTTTAAGATTTATATCTTCTACCACTAATTTAAGTTCTTCTAGATTAGGGTTCTTTGCTATTTTGTTGATATTACTTTCTGGTGGTGGAGGAGACTTGACTACCCTAACAAGTGATTGAATTTTACACTTGCATAGGTCCCATTCTGAGGGGTCTTGAAAGTTTTAAAGTTCTTTAATAATGTAATCTTTAAGTTCAGTATTACTAAAAAAAAAAAAACTCACTTTCTCTCTCCACTACCGAATAGTGGAGAGTATAGAAAAAACACAACGACAAACAAAACTAGATACTCGACTTCTAAACTATTATCAAGGG